CTTGTGTGGATAAGTTGTGGGTCCCACCCGCATGCGAGTAACCGGTGGGTCCCGCGTGTCATAACTCAAATCGCTAACCCTCGTGTTTTTCATTTCACGGTTAAACAGAGCCATGTCGCATTGGAGCTATTTACATGCTCAAGTGTGTCGCATCACAGCCATTCACTCGAACAACGTCGCACTCAAGCAAATTCACATCAAAAACGTCGCACAGGAGCTATTGGCCCTGTAGTTACCTAGTGTTTGACTCGTTTGTTTTGAACTTAGAAGTGCTAGTGATGGATGAATTTTTTGGACGTTTGTAGACAGATTTATGCAGTGATGCTCTTGGGAAGGTTGTTGTTGTCACTGGTCATCCCTGTAGCTTAATACGCTACTCTGCAATAAGTTTGATTTGAACGATTTTATTATCCTTTAACATGTTGAATTTCTATCCCTCTAGTACAACAGTTTGAAAAACAAATCATTGGCATCTTAAAACCAATCAGCACCCAGAAAGTCCATCTATAGTCTAGGAATTTTCAGTTCTGAAGACGTAGGTCCTGATTTAACTCTAGTCTATAGCTCTTGATTTAAGTTCTAGAGCTGTTGTTCATTCTTATCGTCAGTTGTTTCCTAAACAACAATGGAGATCTGGACTACTTGCCTGCCTCCCTATTTCTTGACTACAAGTTACAACTCTGATTTCTATGCACTTTTGGTGAAGCAAATAGTCCTCTGGTTGTAGTTTGTTGGCGGTATCACCCAGATTGGTTCTTATTGATGGACACATTGGTTCTTCACTCTCAGATTATATGTGCCATTTAGTCTACTCTGCTAGTACTATCTTCCATGCATTCATTATTTCATTCTCCACTCTCAGATTATATAATGCAATATGAAAATTTGTTAAACAACTAAGCAAGGAAATTCTTTTTATAGTTTCTCATTATTTAACCAAGGACATTATGAATCTAGTTTGAACATTGTACTCTGTCTCTAAGTACCGTTAATGATGAACCTCATGTACTGCTTCTAATTATATCCAGTCCAGACAAAAAATGTTTTAGCTGCTGCTAATTATATGGTGTAAGATATACAATGTGTTAATATGATTATATGATTGATGATATTTCTTCAGTTGTTTGTTCAAATACCCCGAGCTCAAGACGTACCTAAATTGTATTGGTTCAAATACCCTAAGCTCAGGATGTACCAATGTGCTGAAATTTCTATTTGTGTCTCTGATCATGTCTGAACTAAAAACTTTGAGTCCTCCAAAATTATCTTCTGTGAGGCCATGATGATTCCAAGATGCTTCTCATAGTACTGTATGCTTGTTTCTTTGTTATTCTCTCATGTTTTACTGTTAACAAGATTTGATGCGAGTGAGGTGTACATGTATGCATGAGCTAGCTGTTGTTTAGGTCAGGTTTAAGATATAGTATGATACATTATGCAAAATTTAAAATCAGATACGTTCATGTCGGTCCGTCTGATTGAATATCCAAGGTTCAACGCATAAGCTTGATGCATAAAGTGGCACCATATTTTTGATATTTTCAGGGTTTTTTCGCATCTAACCCTTGGACCAATTCATCTTCTTTTATAGGGACCTGATCTTGCGGAAGACGGGCGACCATGCTTTGCTGCCACAAGTCTCCTCTACTCTGTGCAGCCCGCAAACATGTCTCAGAGCATTCGCCGATCAAACATGTGCTTATTTTGTGATAAATCATTGACTTTCATTGACCGAACATCTTGTATTTTTTATTTGGACCGTGGCATGTGTCATGTTTTTCATTTGAACCGTGGCATGTACCATTTTCAATTGAACGGTTGATAGTACATTTAACAAAGCCTATTTGCTGTTTTGCGTAATCTAGTTGCACCTTTGTTGCAAGTACATTTCCCCTATTAGCTTTTGAAGTTGTAAAAATTGCATTTTTATTATTATAGGATAGTAATGTTGCTAACCCTGTGTATGAATCCCCGTGTAACAAATAGTAGGGGTGTGTGAGGGTTTTGGAGATTAGGGTGATTTGAGAGGATTGGGTGAAAGGGAGGGATTCACCAAATCCTCTAAAAATCCCCCCCTCTCCCAAAATCTCCCCAATCTACTTCTACCAAATAAGGCCTTAGGAGGTCTTTGATCCTATGATGGGGATCCTTGTCCCTTGAGAGGTCTTGATCCCCAAGATGGAGGTACAAGGAGCAAAGCTCTCTCTAGTAATCTCAAATACTTTGATAACCCTAGCAAGTAGGAGGGGTCCTATATATAGTGCTAGGGGAGATAAGAGAGGAGGAGAGGGGATACATGGGCATCTGGCCCGATTAGGCACGCGCAGGTATCGGACATCCGGGCTGGGGCCGGATGTCCGAGGCTTCATGGGACACCAGATGTCCTGGCTAGGGCCGGATGTCCGGCCTGGAGCTGGCCAAACTATTTTATGCGTTGAGTGTCCTCAGGTCAGATATCAGGCTGGGGCCTGGATGTCCTGGCTGTCGGGCCGGATGTCCAGCTCTTGGAGCTCTGCATCGGCTGCCTTGTTGCTGGTATTGGTGACTAGGGCGCCAGATATCCGGGTCGGGGCCAGATGTCTGGCCGCTGTACACTTCCAGCGGTTTCTTCCATCGTGCTTCTTCGTGCGCCTTTGTGGGCACTTGGTCTGGTGGTCGTCTTTATTCCTAAGAACACATAGCTTTTCCGATTGAGGTAGTAGCCATGTCTCACGTGGTTCATACAGAAGCTCATTAAGGAGAGATGTCACCTCGTTCTCGATAGCTCTTGCACGTGCTCATGTCATCGGTCCACTTGACACTTGGGAAGACGAAGGTAGGTCCATGGCGATGATCTTAGGATGCTCTACATCATCTCCCTCCCCCCTCCCCTTGGGAAAGATCCATTCTAGGATCGATAACCTCATTACCATGGAAGGGAGATAGGTCTTTAACGTTGAAAATCTCGCTAACGTTGTGCTTGTCACGCGGGAGGTTGATCTTGTAGGTATTGTTGTTGTAGCGTGCTAGCACCTTGAATGGTCCATCGGCTCGGGGTAGAAGCTTGGACTTGCACTTGTTGGGGAAACGGTCTTTGCATAGGTGTAACCACACAAGATCTCCGGGGTTGAACACCATGGGGTGCTTTTTGAAATCGATAAACCTTCTGTTGTCACATCAGAAATTCCGAGCCATTCCATTCAGAACTTCTGAGGTGCCAACAGAGAGTGTCCCGGTGCTTAGGTACTCACTTCGAAGCCACTGATTGATTTCCATTCGGACCTACTTATCTATATTCTTTTATTGTTTCATGCTATTATATTATCATTAGAAACCGGGGGAGGGGGGGGGGGGTTGCAACATCCTAAGTGTTTTTGAAACATGGGAAATGTTGTGATGCTTTTGGTTGCAGAGGGGGATGTTGGGCCCGTCGATCCTGGCTAATCGTCGACTGGGGCGGATAACTGGAAGTTATCACCCAACCGACGCATAGTTCGACCTAGTCTTATGTCCCATTATAAGAGCATCTGCAACATTGACCCTATAATAGGGCAGCTACCCAGAAAAAGTTTTTTTTTCATCACCGACGAAAAACGGCCTCCAACAGCTGCCCTAAATGCGTATTTTTGTGGTCCTATTTTAGGGCTGCCCAAAAAATAGCTCGTATTTGCATGACGCAGTGGGGTGCCAGACGCAAAAATAGTTCCCCACCCACGTGCCGCGTGCAACTGAAACTTCCAGACGCGGCCCCACCTGAGTGGGTCCTTCTGCCCAACCGTATGCGACCGCCACCACATAAGTCGGTTCATGCCGCCGCACCGCCCTACCAAACCTCGCCGCCTCGGATCCAACACCCCCCGCCTCTCTCCGGCTGCCACAACCACTATATCCACCGCCACTGCCGCCACCAAAACAGGCCACCGTCGACCCCTCAATGCCGCATATCCAACTCCTCCCGCCTCTCTCTGGTCGTCGTCGACGAAGTATCCGCCGCCACTGTGATGCGTCCTCGCCACAGACCGAGGTGCTCCACCGGCTTCCAAGACGTCCATTAGCGGGATTCCAGACATTTTTCGACCGGGAACATGCATGAGGGCGTGTGGTATTGGCTCGATAAGTAAGACAAGCCGGACGTCGCCGCTCGCGCCTTGAACAAGGTGTGTTGGCAGTTCGACCAGCCAAAGCGGGACTTGAACTTCCCGGGGATCAAGACTCAAGCCGATGCGTAGTTCATCGGTCCTGAGATCGAGATGACGACTGTCGCGGAGAAGGAGACTCGGATCGTTCTGAACTAGTGCGACGTTAGTCATTGGGATGAGGTTGCATGATGAAGGTTGCGGTGAAAAATACGCACCTCGTGCAGGTGGAGTATGAGTTCTCGGCATCGTGGAACAACACGATGAATTAGGAGGTGAAGGAGGAGGAGAAGGAGCACGTGAATGAGGACGATGAGTCGGGCTCCGACATTGACTGTGACAACTTTAACTTTGTATCCGAACTAAGTTTTAAGTTTGCATGTTTGATCGAATTCACAAAGGTTTCGATGTTTTGGTGCCCAATATAGGGCAATAGTTTGGTGCCCTATTATAGGGCTGCTGTTGGTTGAAAAATCAGTAATGCAACTTTTGGTCCCCAATAACAAATAAATATTTTTTTGGTGCCCTATTATTTTCTCACAAAGGATGAATTTAATTAGCTCCAAATGAAGTATCAAGTGGATACAAACACAATGATCACACATCTGATCTCTACATAGTTAGGAAATGCTTTATTATAGGGCTGTCGTTGGAGATGCTCTAAAATGCACGATATGGATATGGATGTCGTTTGGTAGATAGCGTTAGGCGCAGAAACACTTGATTTCGACAGGAAAGAACTTTTTACTATAATGAGGGAGACCTTATTACTGAATCAAAAGGAATGGTCCATCTTCCACCTTCAACTTGAGACGCTGGATTGGTGCGAACCGACAGCAAGATACGATTATAGAACTTGTGCCTAATCTCTCGCCGTTGCTGAACCTAAATCTTGTTGTAGACAGAAGGGAAACGGCATGGCTCTGCCCCCTCCACATCGTCCAGAAACCCGGCCTGCTGGCAGAACTCGACGCTGTCCCTGATGGTCTCCTCCAGCGACCGGCAGCTCCACCCCAGCTTCAGGAGCTTGTCGGTCGTCATAGGAGCCGGGTGATCCATGTCACTGATGCTTTCCCTGCAATTTTGCCAGAGTGAATTGAACTCAGCCAGGGCTGGGGATGGGCTTCAGCATTCCAGCGAGGGAAAAAGAGAGAGGATAAAGAGGCCTGCGCACTTGCTAATGTGAGGGTAGTCAGGGTACATGCGCTTGAGCAAGTCCAGCAGGTCGCGGGCGGTGATGACATGTGGGGCGCAGATGTGCCTGCCGGCGGCCTCGGGCGCCTCGTAGAGAAGAAGCAGCGCGTCGGCGGTGTCGCGCACGTCGACTATGTGCCACAGCTTGTTCCTCATCCGGTCAGGGCCTCCTGCATGCACCGGCGCTCAAAGGATGATGAGAAACAGAGGACAGGGCACACGGTGCATGATCAGGTTGTGAGCGTGAGGTGATGACTGAAACCACCTTTCAGGAAGTAGATGAGGAACTGGCTGCTCGCGTTCACCGTTGGCTGCAGCAGGGGACCAAACACCACCGCCGGGTTGAGGGTGACCACATCCAGGCCGGTCCGCCGCCCGTACTCGAGCGCCGCCTCTTCTGCGGTGATCTTGGAAACGAATACCAGTCCTGCAGAGCCATGGCCAAGATAACGAAATCACAAGTTTATTAATTGTTCGGGTTCTAAGATCACAATAAGATTTGGTGCTTCCCTGCTACTCCATCCGTTTCTAAATATAAGCCTTTTTAGAGATTTCAATACGGACTACATATGAATTGTCTGGAGTATTTAGTACCTCGTTGCTCCTGCAGAACTCTCTGTCTGACCAACTGCTTTCATCTTTGATCTTGTCGGTGGGCCAATCTTTCGGGTTGATATCGACGGCGACTATGGATGACACGACGACCAGCCGCCGAACCTTGGCGGCGGAGGCAGCCTCCAGTACATTCCTGGTACCAGTAGCAGCAGGACCCAGAACTTCAACCTGTGTACGTGTATGTGGCATGAATACTTAGTCTAATGTTCAGTTGTAACGTAAACGATACATGCCATAAACAAGATCTGCGAGGCGCAGGCTCACCTCCGGATCAGTCACCTCCCCCTTAGGAACCGGGCTCGCGACATGGAAAACTCCCTGGCATCCCTCTATGGCAGCCGCCATCGCGTCGTAGTCGAGTAGATCGGCCTTGATAAGCTTGAGATTTTCAGATGCGTTCTCCAGCGACCTCAGATGGCCGGTCTTCTTCTCACCTGAAACATTATCAGCACTATTCATCAGTTTATATAGTATGACTCTAACGGTCCACCGATGTTTTGTGCAAACAGAGCCGAGACCGCCATGGCGGCGTCGCATGCACGGCACGGCACGGGCACAAAAGGAGTCAGGCAGGCAGGCACGTACCGAGGTCGCGGACGGTGTAGCCGCGGGAGAGGAGGAGCTTCACGAGCCGCCGGTGACGCACACCGTCTCCCCTTTCGCTCCCTCCATACGCCCGACCATGGCTGAAGCTGATAGGCTCCGCTCCACAGTCCACACACACACACCACAGCGCGCGAGCTCCACTCAGCGTCTGTGGTTGCTAGCGGCAGGGGGGATGCTCAACGATAGCTACCGGGTCAGGGAAGCAGCCTGCTACAAGTACAGGTTGGAGGGAAATTTGCAGGGCACACGCACGTACGAACCAGCGTTTGTTTATATGCAACTTCGGGCGGCCCGTAGATCGGAATCTTGATCTGGAACTCACATGGAGCTGTTTATAGTTTCTGATACGCAAAGATTCAGCATGGAGCACGCCGATATATTGTATACATAGACTATTTGAAACTCGAGCACCCATGTGCAACTTGATCGCTTTGCGCTCAAATAGCACACATATCGACATGCTAGTAGTTATCGCGCCGGCACTTTGTTAAGTACGTCCCGTCATATTGTATGTGTCTTATATTATGGGATGGAGGGAGCATTTTTTGTCAGCACGGTATACACTATCATTACTGGGGAGTGTATAAACATAAGGCACGTGAAAGAACGCTTCACACCAGTCACTTTGTTTCTTGTCCGTCCGATCCGCATCCAACCATTCAACGACCCTCTTCTTCCTCCCAACCGACTTCATCCTCAAGCCGCGATCTAATCCATCCTTCTCCGCAACCGCCGGCCTACCCTGCCCCATCCGTCTGCCTCCACCCCCGGCCCTTGCGGCCGGTGAGCGCTGCCGCACACCGCCTCGTCGCCCCTCCTCTTAACGTCCCCCCACTGCTGTTGCTGACCACCGCCCCGGCCATCCCTCTAAGCCCCGCACCACAAGTGAAAACCTCTGGTGATCCCCAGCACCCCGACCCCCAAGATAGATAATGGGACTGTTACTTTCCTCTAAGATAGAGAGTGGGGCTGGTTCTTCTCCGGCGAAGTTGGCGAGGTCCGGCTTCCCACACTAGCAGAAAACATAGTTTTCGTTCGGGCCAGGTTAGCCCATTAGTCCCGGTTCAGTCACGAACCGAGACCCATGGGCCCATTGGTCCCGGTTCGTGAGGCTAGGGGGCCTGCCGGGCCTCGTGGGGCCATTGGTCCCGGTTCGTCTGTCCCCTTAGGTCCCGGTCGATGGCACAAACCGGGACCAATGGGCCTCGCTCCTGGCCCACCACCATTGGTCCCGGTTGGTGGCCTGAGCCGGGACCAAAGGGAGGTCTTTAGGACCGGGTCAAGCCACGAACTGGGACCAATGAACCAGCCAGGGAAGAGGGCTTTTGTGTGTAAAACATTAAAAGCAATTTTTTTTCATAAAATAAATAAAAAAAGCAAAAAAGAAAATAAAATAAATAAGTAGAAACAAAATAAAATAAATAAGTAGAAACAGAAAAAACTTTAATAAATAAGTAGAAACAAAATAAACTTTAATAAAGTAAATAAATAAACTATAATAAAATAAATGAACATAGCAACAGTAAGTAGAAACAAAATAAAATAAATAAAGCAAAAAAGAAAGAATTTTCATAAAATAAATAAAAGAAGCAAAAAAGAAAATAAAATAAATAAGTAGAAACAAAATAAACTTTAATAAATAAGTAAAAACAAAATAAATTTTATAAAACCTCTAGTATTATTGAAGCTAAAATTATATAAAATTTATGCAACTAAAATTATCAAACTATTTCTTGTAAAAAACATTAAAAGAAAAAAGAATTTTCATAAAGAATTTTTTTGTTAGAAACTTTAATAGCAAAAAGAATTATCATAAAGATTTTTCTCTTAGAAACTAAAATAACAAAATATGTTTTTGAATATAATGATAAAACACAGTAATATTAAATAGCAGGAAAAAGAATCACTAAAAAATCTATTTTTATAGTAAAGCTATTCAAAAACTAGTGATTCACACAAATTTCCAAAATTCAAATTTAAACTATTCAAATTAGAAAACAAATGGCACTAACAGAAAGTTAATAATTTTTATTACCTAAAAGCAAAAAGAATCACTGAAAAACTAGTAAGTATTTTGCTGTAAGTAGAAACAAAATAAAATAAACAAAGTAAAAATAAATAAAATAAATAAAAAAGTGCCACCTAAAGGGCCACCACGGCCTGAATACAACTAGAAACCCAACAATGAGCCAGGATTCAGGCCCGCAGTAGACCCAGTAGGCCCACAGGCACATAGAGACAGATTAGGCCCGAAAGCCTGCTTTAGAGAGGAGCTCGAGAGGGTTGGCGCACCGCACCTTATAAACAGGTGCAGCTCTGTCTCAGCTAGCGAGGTGGGACTAAACTCCCACCACCACGCCGTTGTGCAAGGCCCATTGGTCCCAGTTGGTGGCACCAATAGGGACTAAAGGGGTGCATTGGTCCCGGTTGGTGCTACGAACCGGTACCAATGCCCCCCCTTTAGTCCCGGTTGGTGCCAGCAACCGGGACCAAAGCCCTCTGTTTCCCGCCCTTTGGGCTGCTGAAAAGAGGTCTTTGGTCCCGGTTGGTGGCACCAACCGGGACCAATGCTCAGTGTATATAAGCAACATTTGTGAAAAATTTTAGTTTCATCGCGCATTTGCCTCCCGACGACGCCGAGCTCATCGACGCCGTCGGGCTGCCCATGCTCGCCATCGCCACCCCACGGTCGCCGTCGCCGCCCGCACCTCATCGTCATCGCCCTGCGCCCCAACACCACGCCCTGCGCCCCGACGCCGACGCCCTGCTCCTCGTCGCCGGCCCTGCCTCCTCGTCGCCGTCGCCGCGCCCTGCACCGACGCCGTCACCGGGTCCGAGCCCGCCGTGAGCGCCGCCCCGATCCCCCCTCCTCCTCCATGTACTGGTCGCCGTCGCCGCCGCGCACTGCCGCCGCGCCCCCTGCCCTGCGAGGCCGCCGCGACGCCGCTCCTGCCCTGCGAGGCCGCCGCGACGCCGCTCCTGCCATGCGAGGCCGCCGCGACGCCGCCCCTGCCCTGCAATTTTTTTATTTTTTGTCATATATATGTATTTTTTTGTCAATTTATATGTATATGTGTATATATGTGTGTATGTGTATAAATGTGTGCATGTGTGTATATGTATATGTATTTTTTGTCATATATATATATATTTATTGTCATATATATGTATTTTTTTGTCAATTCATATTTAGAAGAAAAAGAAGAAGAGGGAAAAAGGAAAATAAGAAGAGGAAGAAGGAGAGGAAGAAAGGAGAAGAAGAGGAGAAATAAATAAGAAGAGAAAAAAAGAAAAAAAGGAGAAGAAGAAAGGAATAGAAGAGAAGAAGAAAAAACAGAGTAATTTCTATTTTTTTTTTCTTCTTCACCTCTATTCTTTTCTTCTTCTCCTCTTTTTTTTCTTCTTTTTTCTTCTTCGATCTTCTCCTCTCTCTATTCCTTTCTTCTTCTCCTCTTTCTTTTCTTCTTCTTCCTCTTCTTATTTTTATCGGGTATGTCGTTGTCGATATACCACCTCCCCGATAACTTCGACATGGAGGGGAGTCAATATACCCCCTCCCCGATAACTTAGACATGAGGAGGAGGGAGAGGGTCGAGGGTTCGACGGTCGTCGAGGGTTCGAGGGGTCGAGGGTTCGGGGGTTCTAGGGTTCTAGGGTCGAGGGTTCGAGGGTTCTATGGTCGAGGGTTCGAGGGTCGAGGGTCGAGGGTTCGAGGGTTCTAGGAATATGCAAAAGTTAGAATTTTTAATGTTAGCTTCATAGAATTCTTTTGGTGATATTATTGTCGAATATGCAAAGAATATGTCAATTTTTTCGTAGTAGACGATGATGATGATATATGAAAACTTGGTCAATTTTTTCTGTTGTAATTTTGTTCGATGAATGTTTTCTGTTAAAACTCGTATTAAGTTTGTTTGATGAACGTTTCATGGGAG